TCATTAACTGGCAGAGACATGGTTAGCAAAGTAAGCATGGCAACAGACCAGCCCATGGGGAGCTGACAGCCTGGGTGTGGTTTGGCTCTGTGTGCTTTGCTGAGAATTGAAAGTGAAATTAGTCTTGCTTGCTAAGTGAAACTGATATCTGCTCTGAGCTGCTGCTGGTTGTGTTTTTTGCTTATGTTATGTCGAAAGAATCTACAAATGGTATTGTAAACTTCACTCATCTTAATATGTTTATAAAGAAGTTAATGATCCTGCTGAATCAGTCATCGGTGTGTTTTCTGGACTTGAATTTCCACTGCAAATCTAACAGGAAAGGAGGGAGGAAGAAAGCAAGGAAGGAAGGATCCAAATACGAATGAAATAATAAAACCAATCCATTAAACAATCCTGTCATCCATTAACACTCATGTACTCTGCAAAATAAATAGGCCTTACAGCTTTGGGAAAGGTCAAAAGGTTAAGGAGATAGGGAAACTTAGAAGAGAAGGTACTCTAAATATTGGGGTAGTAAAAGAAGGTTTGTGGTTGGATCCCCAACTCCTACAACTTCCACAGGGTGTGACCCTGGATATCTCCTTCCCAGATAGATCAAGACGGCTCAAGAAAAATAATCTTGCAGGTATCTGAAAGGAGTTTTCTTTGAACTGACTTGGAAGTCCACTCAGGAACCAAAACATTGGTGTTGCACTACCAGACCTGCTCTCTCCAGTAAAAAGGTAAGACCAGGGCACAGTTGTTATTATTATACTATTTAGACCTCATTTACAAATTGCCAATTATTTCTGCATTTTATGAAATGCAGTGTTTCCCAGAGATATAAACAGATCCGCTGTAGCTTCACTTGCAACACTGAGAACCCGAGAAAACCCATTTTTTTTCTCTCAGTGCGTCAAAGAACATCTGTTTCTTCTCGTGTGCAAAAACGAAAAATCCCAGCATGCGTAATTAACAGACGATGTGCCACCAGCCCGGCAATCGAGAACTGAAATTGTGTTTATTCTAGAAGAGGTTATACAGGGATTGGGAGCTATGGCCCTTTCCATGGGCTTAACTACAATTCCTAGGAACTGTTCTTCTTCACCATGGCTGATGGCAGAGAAGGTGGGAGTTCAATGCATCTGGAGCGGTGGTGGGATTCCAAAAAATTTACTATCGGTTCTGTGGGCGTGGCTTGGTGGGCATGGTGTGGCAGGCATGGTGTGGTTTGATGGGTATGGCTTGGTGGGCGTGGCAGGGGAAGGATACTATAAAATCCCCATTCCCTCCCCACTCCTGGGAGAAGGTTACTGCAAAATCTCCATTCCCTCCCCACCCCACTAACCTGCTTTCCAGCTCTGATCTCCTGTACAGGGCAACCAAAGAAGACCCAGCCGATCAGCTGGGACTCGGGAAGCAGAGAATAGATGGGGTTGGTGGGACCAGTCAGAGGTGGTATCTGCCGGTTCTCCAAACTACTCAAAATTTCTGCTACTGGTTCTCCAGAACTGGTCAGAATCTGCTGAATACCACCTCTGATCTGGAGGTCTATCAGTCTTTTCATCTCTGTTTTATATAACTGAATGGGACTGCAGGGACATCATAGATCAGTGGTGGCTAACCTTTTTGGACTCCTGTGCCAAAAATTATGTGCGTGCTAGCACTCACATACCAGCAACCAGAAGACAATGCCCCCCCCCACATCTCCTGCATATGCGTGTGCATCTTCCCACCCTCCACTGCTTCCTTACCTCCACTGTGCCTCACAGCTGATTTTCAGCCTCTCAGAGGTTTGAAAAAAGCCTCTGCAGGTTTTGCAGGACAAACAATAGGCCTGTTTCGTCACTTCCGATATTACAGGAAGTGACAAAATGGGCCTATCATTCGTCCTGCAAAGCCTGCAGAGGTTTTCTTCAAGCCTCTGGAAGGCCGAAAAAGGCCTCAAACCAGCCAAAACAATCAGCTGTGTGGTGCGCACATGCATGTAAGTTTGCCTGCAGCTCACATGCCAGCACAAATGGCTCTACATTCCACCTGTGGCACGCGTGCCATAGGTTCGCCATCATGGTCATAGACTGAAGAGACAACATACTTTATACATGCAGCCCTTCCAACCAAGGAATAATAAAGATTTAATCTCCAGCAGACCTGGTATTTCAATGTTTGTTTATTTACTTGCTTCTTTCTTTCTTTTTTCTATTTGTTTGCTGCCCATCTTGGAAAGGAAGGGAAAGGGAGGGAGAGGGGAAAGGAAAGGGAGGGG